TACAAATAATAATAACAATACTAAGAACTTGAATAATAATACAAGTAATCATAATACTACTGGTTTTGCAGTAAAATAATAATAAATAATATTTAAATAATAATACTACTACTAATAATAATATTTTGCTGTTATTAGTATTATTATTATTATTATTATTGTTGTCACTTATTAGTCCTCAGAACTATAGGCTGTACAGAGAAAAATAAACTTTGGTTGACATAATAATATAACAATAATAATACCAATGGAAATATTATTATTATTATTATTATTATCGGTTTATTAATTTTTGTCACTTGTTAGTCCCCTTTTAGAACTATAGGATGTACAGAAAACTTCATGAAAAAAAAATAAACTTTGGATGACTTATGATCAGACCGTACATTGTAACTTTGTAGAAGGAGAATGAAGCATTTCCTCGGTCTCCCCTCCCCCAGTGATCATGCTGTACATTGTAACTTTGTAGAAGGAGGAGGAGGCATTTCCTCAGTCTCCCCTCCCCCAGTGATCATGCTGTACATTGTAACTTTGTAGAAGGAGGAGGAGGCATTTCCTCAGTCTCCCCTCCCCCAGTGATCATGCTGTACATTGTAACTTTGTAGAAGGAGGAGGAGGCATTTCTCAGTCTCCCCTCCTCCCAGTGATCAGACTGTACATTGTAACTTTGTAAAAGGAGGAGTTTCCTCAGTCTCCCCTCCCCCAGTGATCAGACTGTACATTGTAACTTTGTTGAAGGAGGGAGGAGGAACTTTGTAAAAAGGAGGTCTCCCCTCAACTGTGCATTTCCTCAGTCTCCTCAGTCTCCCCCTCAGACCATTGTGAGGATCAGACTCCCCCAGTGTACATTGTAACTTTGTTGAAGGAGGAAGCATTTCCTCAGGAGTGATCAGACTGTACATTGTAACTTTGTAGAAGGAGGAGGAAGCGTTTCCTCAGTCTCCCTCCCCCAATGATCAGACTGTGCATTGTAACTTTGTAGAAGGAGGAGGAGGCGTTTCCTCAGTCTCCCCTCCCCCAATGATCAGACTGTGCATTGTAACTTTGTAGAAGGAGGAGGAGGCGTTTCCTCAGTCTCCCCTCCCCCAATGATCAGACTGTGCATTGTAACTTTGTAGAAGGAGGAGGAAGCGTTTCCTCAGTCTCCCCTCCCCCAATGATCAAACTGTGCATTGTAACTTTGTAGAAGGAGGAGGAGGCGTTTCCTCAGTCTCCCCTCCCCCAATGATCAGACTGTGCATTGTAACTTTGTAGAAGGAGGAGGAGGCGTTTCCTCAGTCTCCCCTCCCCCAATGATCAGACTGTGCATTGTAACTTTGTAGAAGGAGGAGGAGGCGTTTCCTCAGTCTCTCCTCCCCCAATGATCAGACTGTGCATTGTAACTTTGTAGAAGGAGGAGGAGGTGTGTCCTCAGTCTCCCCTCCCCCAATGATCAGACTGTACATTGTAACATTGTAGCAAGTCACATTGTGAGAGGATACAGCAGGGGCTGATCTGTGTCAGACATTTGTGAATACAGCCGAGAACTGCACAGGCACCAGGATTTACATGGTAGTGTCATCTCTGAGAAACAATCTCATTCCAGGAAGTAGATGGTTGACTCCTGAACAAAGAGAGCGCCATCCTTCTGCCGAGGAAAGCACATGGAGGCATTTATTGGCTGAGTTCTGTGATCTCTGTTAGAGGTAATGAATACCTGGGTGCGTTATGCTGACATGTGACTCGATGTGCTGCACTTACCATGAAGATATATATCTGGCATTGGGTCCAACTTGGAATCCTTTTCCATTTCAGCCAGTTTCTGAAACTTGTATGTTGAGATAGCATACGGCAGCTGAAAGCAGAAATCAGACTTGCAGAGAGGCATCTGCCTGGTGAACTTTGAGCTGGAGAAGGAGAAGCTGCCTAGGCGGAATCACAGAAGTGAGAGAGGATGATCCAAAGAACCGGTCAGACACAGGGGAGCCAAGATTCCCTACCTACAAGAGGAGCGAACCTAGACAGCGCTGGGTCTTTGCGGAGAGGATGCAGAGCTATACAGACTTGCTACCTTCGCTGAGCCTGCAGAGACCGGTGCTCTTGTTGTACCCATAGGGGCCTAATGACTGAGCTACAGGGGAATCGCTTGCAGTGCCTACACAAGAGCTGAAAACCTGAGCCTAGTGGGGGGACTAGAGCAGGAAGACTGAGCCTTATGGGACCTGTCTTCAGAGGACTCAGGCTGTTAATGAAGGAGATACTCCCCCATATTTACTAGCCCACTAGCCATCTTCTGCACACTTTTAAAGGGACAGCTACATGTGCACCACTCACAGAAGGGCCCCAAAAAATGCTGGCCAACACTGACAATTAGATGTCAGGTACTTTGCCATTATTTGCAGCGCCTACACCAGAGCTGAGAGACTGCCTGCTGTGAGTGCTGACAACAGAACAGAAAGACTGGGCCTTATGGGACCTGTCTTCAGAAGACTGCAGGCTGCCAAGTCATCTGGATCAGATATCTGTGTACCAGGAGGGGTGAGCTGAACTATCTGTGCTTATCTCAACACTGACACAGTTAATGAAGGAGATACTCCCTGTCAGGGATCGCCACGGCGCATAGGTCTGCGCATGTGCAGACTGGCGAAATTCACTAACACGCAGGCACTAGAACCTGGGCAACCACGGCAGCAGTCGTGGCCGCGCATGCACACTCGCGCACACAGGCGCGCGATTGTCACCAATGACAGCGCAGGGCGCCCTATTTAAAGCGGGCTCCTGCAGTACTCAAGTGCCGTATGGTCTTTCCTGTGTTCCTGTTCCTAGTGCTGAGATTGCTTGTTGCCAAACCTGCCTGACCTGGATTATCGTGACCTTCTCCTGCCCTGACCCCTGGCTTGTCTGACCATTCTCCTGCCTTCTCTTGCTGTTTGACTTCCTGTTGCTGAACCTGGCCCGTGACCCGTTATCCATTTGCCTGCTGCTTTGTATCGTTTGTCCCCACTGTTACCAACCCGGCCTGCCTGACTACGCTACTACCTCTTCACACCTGGCTCTCCCCTGCCATCTGCCATTGACGGTTGCCTCTACCACAGCTGGTTGTACTCAGGAGTCGCGACCTGGTCTCAGGCTGCTTCAAGTCCATCCCCACCATCAGGGGCTCTGGTGAATCAGCAGACTGAGGCTTAGACCCTGCGCCCTGAGGAATTCCGGTATGTGGGTCACTAGAGGCTACCACCAGTCAGCTCCTAACACTCCCCTTTGCTTAGTAACCCGCTAGCCATCTTCTGCACACTCTTAAAGGGACACCTACACATGTACCACCCACAGAAGGGCCCCAACAAATGCTGGCCAACACTGACAATTAAGTGTCAGGTACTTTGCCATTATTTGCAGTGCCTACACCAGAGCTTAGAGACTCGCTGCCGTGAGTGCTGACAACAGAGCTGAAAGACTGAGCCTTTTGGGGGACCCGAAAAGAAAGACTGAGCCTTATAGGACCTGTGTTCAGAGGACTGCAGGCTGCCAAGTCATGCCAAGTCATCTGGATCGGATCTCTGTATACCAGGAAGGGTGAGCTGAACTATCTGTGCTTATTTCAACACTGACAGTTAATGAAGCAGATACTCCCCTTTGTTTAGTAGCCCACTAGCCATCTTCTGCACACTCTTAAAGGGACAGCTGCACGTGCACCACCCATAGAAGGGCCCCAACAAATGCTGGCCAACACTGACAATTAGGTGCCAGGTACTTTGCCATTACTTGCAGTGCCTACACCAGAGCTTAGAGACTGGCTGCCATGAGTGCTGACAACAGAGCTGAAAGACTGAGCCTTTTGGGGGACTCGAACAGAAAGACTGAGCTTTATGGGACCTGTCTTCAGAGGAATGCAGGCTGCCAATTCATCTGGATCAGATATCTGTGTACCAGGAGGGGGGAGCTGAACTATCTGTGCTTATCTCAACACTGACACAGTTAATGCAGGAGAGACTCTTCCTTGTTTAGTAGCCCACTTGCCAGCTGCTGCACACTCTTAAATAGGCAGCTATGCGTGCACAAGTTTATGTCCAAATTCCCATCACACACGTTCCTGGAACAAGCTCAAAAGAGGCGGGTGCTGCAGCAACATCCAGCTGGAAACTGGAACTATCATAGATCAAAGTTCATATTTGCCAGCACACCACGGATCACCAATATCGTCTGAAAAGTCTATTTTTATTTAAGAACGATCACCTCACCTTTTCTTTAGCCTTTCAGACGATATTGGTGATCTGTAGTGTGCTGAGAAATAGGAACGTTGAGCTATGCGTGCACCACTTACAGAAGAGCCCCCAAGGAAAGTCGGACAACACTGAAAATTAGATGCAAGGTACTTTGCTGTTACTTCCAGGGGTACCCCTTAGTCAAGAATGCATAAGCCCACCCACTATTGGGGCTGCATATGCGTAGTGTGCACATGAGGACACTTATTTTCTTGGATTAGTTGATGCCAATACTACGCTGCTTGCATCAGCATAGTCTGGTTTAATATTGCTATAGTTAAACGTATCACCAGCTGAAGGGCTGGTGCTCATCTAGCCAGTGTAGCATGCTGAAATCTGTTCTGATAGCCTATTCACTGATTTATGTGTTGTTTAACTGCATTGCTGCAATACAACTATTTTATCTGACTACCATTCGCTTGATCTATTTTCTGTGTAGTGTTAGGCTAGGTTCACATCTGTGCGGGTGGTGCCGCTGCAAATTTTAAAAATTAAAAAAAAAAAACTTTTTTCTTAGTTTTTGTTATAACATTTTGTAAACAAGTGATTTTTTTCCTTCACCGATGTGCGCTAGTAAGGCTGCAGTGATGGGCACTGATAGGCTGCACTGATGGGCACTGATAGATGGCGCTGATGAGGAGGCACTGATGGGCATTGACAGGCATCACTGATGGGCACTGAAAGGCAGCGCTCATATATGGCACTGACCTGCACTGATAGGTGGCACTGATGTGCACTGATAGGTGGCACTAACTGGCACTGATAGGCGGCACTGACTGGCACTGATAGGCGGCACTGATTGGCAGCACTAATAGGTGGCACTGACTGGCACTGATAGGTGACACTGAAAGACAGCTCAGACGGGCACTGATATGTGGCATTGATGTGCACTGGTAGGCACTCATATGTAACATTGACGAGGCACTGATGGGCACTGGCAGGTGTCATTGATGAGCACTGAGAGCTGGCACTGATGGACACTGACAGGTGGCACTGCTGGGGCTACACTGATCATCAGTGCCCTGATGATCAGTGTAGATGTCCCCTCTGAGGAATGCCGATTACCAGCTCTCCTCTCCTCTGTCAGCGTGACAGTTCGAGAGGAGAGAAATGCTGATAACCGGCATTTCCCTATTTACATGTGATCAGCTGTGATTGGACACAGCTGGTCTCATGACCGAGCCAACATCTTCGGCTCTTTCCGTTGATTGGTGATCCGCTGTGTCCGAGGGACACAGCGCACCACAGATCGCCGCGCCGTGTGCTCCTGGAGCCACGCACGTGCAGTTAGAGTGTGAGGACCTCATGTGACGTCCAGCCCAGAATGAGAGAACCGCCTTGCGCCCATCATTTCCTTATATGGCGGGTGGGAGGCGGTTAAAGTATGGTTGCACTCACATGTAAGCATACATCATTAGGCATCGAATGGCAAACAAAAAAATCTAAATTTTCCACTTTCCAAAATGGCCGCCGGCTGTTCGCGCATGCGTGGCTCCACCCTACATGTTTCGTCACAGGTAACTTCATCAGGTTTAAGAGTCATGGTAAAACAAAGAACCCATCTTCACCAGCGGATCTTGTGGGGGGAAGTGGTACAGGGTGATGGTGGCTTATGGAGACAAGGAGATAGGGAGGTGTCATGTAGTCCAGCAGAGGACAAGTGGGCAGGGCTGACAAAACTACTTGGGATTTTAGTGCAGATGAAGCAGTGTGTTGTCAGCCCACAATGGGATATTAGGAATATGTATGAGCTTTCGCATGATAGTGGGCCACCAGCCCAATCAGCTGTGGCTGTGGGATTCCCAGCCCCGCAGCTACATGTAACAAAGGACAGAGATGATGGTGACATCATTGACCTAATATGCCACTACAAATCCCACCCCTCAGCTGCACATAACAAAAGGGAAGGGATGCTGGTGACATCATTGACCTAATGTGGCCACATGACCAATTTTGGATAATGACATTGTCAGCCATACCTGGGTTCTGTGTTGTCTACCCTGCATGAGTGTTAAGCTGCTGGACTGCAGAACTCACCCCTCTGATGTTATTCATACAAAGAGAGGAGGATTTATGGTAGTGTATGGAGACAAGGAGATAGGGAGATATCCTGTAGTCCATAAGAAGACAAATGGACAGAGCAGACAACACTACTTAGAACTGAGATGAGATGATGGTGGTTTGAGACAAGAACATTGGAGATCTCCTGTAGTCCAGAAGAGGACAAAGGGACAGAGCTGACAACACTACTTAGAATTGAGATGATCTGATGGTTGTTTATGGAGACAAGAAGATAGGGATATGTCCTGTAGTCCAGAAGCAGACAATTGGACAGGGCTGACAACACTACTTAGAATTGAGATGAGATGATGGTTTGTTTATGGAGACGAGAAGATAGGGATATGTTGTGTAGTCCAGAAGCAGACATATGGACAGGGCTGACAACACTACTTAAAACTGAGATAAGATGATTGTGGTTTATGGAGATGAGGAGACAGGGAGATATCCTGTAGTCCAGAAGCAGACACATGGACAGGGCTGACAACACTACTTAGAACTAAGATGAGATGATGGTGGTTTATGGAGACAAGAAGATATGGATATGTTCTGTAGTCCAGAAGAAGACAAATGGACAGAGCTGACAACACTACTTAGAATTTAGATGAGATGATGGTGGTTTGGGGAGATGGGGAGATGTTCTGTAGTATAAAAGAGGACAAATGGATGGAGATGACAACACTACTTAGAACTGAGATGAGATGATGGTTTATGGAGACAAGAAGATAAGGATATGTTCTGTAGTCCAGAAGCAGACACATGGACAGAGCTGACAACACTACTTAGAATTTAGATGAGATGATGGTGGTTTGGGGAGATAGGGAGATGCTCTGTAGTCCAAAAGAGGACAAATGGACGTAGATGACAACACCACTTAGGATTTCAGTGCAGATGTTTGGGGTCAACAACAGGAAATTTCGAAATGGGATGAGCTATCCCATGATAGCGGGCCACCTGCCCAATCAGCCATGGCTACTGAATTTCCCGCCCCACTGCCACATGTGGCCTAGGGACAGGTGACATCACTGACCTAATATCACACCATCGCCAAATGTGGCCGCTGACATTGTCCGACTACGGCCATATTTCTGGTAAGATCAGCAACAGGAGTTTTTCTTAAAGGGACACCCCACGGGGAAATGGACACGTACCGCAGAGAGGTCCCACATTCGATTTTTAGCCTTTGCCGCAACATGCACTTTAAATAAACCGGTTCAGGTGTACGTGTCCATTAAATAATCATTTTTGCCACTTCAAAGATCTTGTATTATTATTTTTTTTTTTTTTTGCAGTGTTGCGGCTACTTCAATCATCCTGTTAATTAAGAGGAAATGCCCGCTGATATCTCAGGATAAAAGGTCAGCAAAACATTTCTCAACAAAGCAAAGAGACGGTAAAAACATGACAGCGAAAAAAAAAAAGAAAAGCCGCAGGTGAGGTGGGGGGGGGGGGGGGGGCCGTGTTAATTAGAAGACCTAATTGCACGCGATAGACAATGCAGGACAGCGGTTGGTGCACCGAACAGTCAATGAAGACCGGGCAGAGGAGCGGCAGGTGTGCCTGGCTTTCATACCTCCATTGAACTGCCACACTCGGAGCCGGCTAGGAGCCAGATTAAAGAGGGGGTTCAAACTGTCTTTATTTTTTATACATCACAAGAGAGATTAAAGCTCAGAACAGCCAATTAGCCGGCATTGACCTTTGACCCGACACCTAATTAATTGCTAATCTAAGTAGAGCGACTTTTATTGGCACAGATGTTGTGCTGTCTAGTTAATAAAGTCCCTTGTCTAGTTTTATTGGAGAAAGAGTTTATTTAATTAGCAACATTTTAATTATCCACCACAAACACAAATACAACAAAACGCTATCTATCTATATATATAGATTGCCAAAAGTATTGGTCCTGCCCTCCAAATCACGCGATTCAGGTGTTCCAATCCCTCCAAATCATGTGATTCAGGTGTTCCAATCCCCTCCAAATCACGCGATTCAGGTGTTCAAATCCCCTCCAAATCACGCGATTCAGGTGTTCAAATCCCCTCCAAATCATGTGATTCAGGTGTTCCAATCCCCTCCAAATCACGTGATTCAGGTGTTCCAATCCCCTCCAAATCATGTGATTCAGGTGTTCCAATCCCCTCCAAATCACGCGATTCAGGTGTTCCAATCCCCTCCCAATCATGTGATTCAGGTGTTCCAATCCCCTCCAAATCATGTCATTCAGGTGTTCCAATCCCCTCCATATCATGTGATCCAGGTGTTCCAATCCCCTCCCAATCATGTGATTCAGGTTTTCCAATCCCCTCCATGGACACAGGTGTATACAATCATCCCCTAGGCATGCAGACGGCTTCTACAAACATTGGTGAATGAATGGGTCGCTCTCAGGAGCTCAGTGACTCCAAGCGTGGTCCCGTGATAGGTGGTCACCTGGCAATAAGTCCATCCGTGACATTTCCTGGCTACTAAATATTCCACGCTCAACTGTTAGTGGGATTATAACAAAGTGGAAGCCACTGGGAACAACAGCAACTCAGCCACCTGACTGCGGACTGACCATTTGGAAACTTGGGCACTGCCCGAGGGCCCGGGGTTAGTAGGGGGCCCCATGAGATGACCCTAGTACCTTTTTCATAGGCTTTTTTGACTTTGGGTAAGTACACAGGGGCCCCATGATCCCCTATTGCCCGGGGGCCCCATGAGTTTTCAGTCCGCCCCTGTTCCATGCTCAACTGTTAGTGGGATTATAACAAAGTGGAAGCAACTGGGAACCATTCGATTTTTAGACCAATCATTCTTTGTGAGTGGGCAAACATTCAAAATCAGCAGTGGAGCAAATACGCATTTCCTTCACTGTATATACACACTATATTGCCAAAGGTATTGGGCCCGCCCTCCAAATCATGTGATTCAGGTGTTCCAATCCCCTCCCAATCATGTAATTCAGGTGTTCCAATCCCCTCCCAATCATGTCATTCAGGTGTTCCAATCCCCTCCCAATCATGTGATTCAGGTGTTCCAATCCCCTCCCAATCATGTCATTCAGGTGTTCCAATCCCCTCCCAATCATGTGATTCAGGTGTTCCAATCCCCTCCCAATCATGTCATTCAGGTGTTCCAATCCCCTCCCAATCATGTGATTCAGGTGCTCCAATCCCCCCTGCAAATCATGTGATTCAGGTGTTCCAATCCCCTCCCAATCACGTGATTCAGGTGTTCCAATCCCCTCCATATCATGTGATTCAGGTGCTCCAATCCCCTTCCAATCATGTGATTCAGGTATTCCAATCCCCTCCATATCATGTGATTCAGGTGTTGCAATCCCCTCCCAAATCATGTGATTCAGGTGCTCCAATCCCCTCCCAATCATGTGATTCAGGTGTTCTAATCCCCTCCATGGACACAAGTGTATACAATCAAGCCCCTAGACATGCAGATGGCTTCTACAGACATTGGTGAAAGAATGGGTCGCTCTCAGGAGCTCAGTGACTCCAAGCGTGGTCCCGTGATAGGTGGTCACCTGGGCAATAAGTCCATCCGTGACATTTCCTGGCTACTAAATATTCCACGCCAGGGCCAGACTGACCTTTTGGAAACTCGGGCGCTGCCCAAGGGCCCGGGGTCAGTAAGGGGCCCCATGAGATGACCCTAGTACCTTTTTCATAGGCTTTTTTGACTTTGGGTAAGTACACAGGGGCCCCATGATCCCCTATTACCCGGGGGCCCCATGAGTTTTCAGTCCGCCCCTGTTCCATGCTCAACTGTTAGTGGGATTATAACAAAGTGGAAGCAACTGGGAACCATTTTTAGACCGATCATTTCTTTGTGAGTGGGCAAACATTCAAAATCAGCAGTGGAGCAAATACGCATTTCCTTCACTGTATATACACACTATATTGCCAAAGGTATTGGGCCCGCCCTCCCAATCATGTGATTCAGGTGCTCCAATCCCCTCCATGGACACAGGTGTATACAATCAAGCCCCTAGACATGCAGAATGCTTCTACAAACATTGGTGAAAGAATGGGTCGCTCTCAGGAGCTCAGTGACTCCAAGCGTGGTCCCGTGATAGGTGGTCACCTGGGCAATAAGTCCATCCGTGATATTTCCTGGCTACTAAATATTCCACGCTCAACTGTTAGTGGGATTATAACAAAGTGGAAGCAACTGGTAACAATAGCCACTCAGCCACCAAGTGGTAGGCCACGTCACATGACAGGGCGGGGTCAGCGCATGCTGAAGCGCACAGTGCGCAGAAGTCGCCAACTGTCTGCAGAGTCAATAGCTAAAGACCTCCAAACTTGGTGTGGCCTTCAGATGAGCCCAACAGCAGTGCGTAGAGAGCTTCATGGAATGGGTTTTCATGGCCGAGCAGCTGCATCCAAGCCTTCCATCACCAAGCGCAATGCAAAGTGTCGGATGTCGTGATATAAAGCACGCCGCCACTGGACTCTAGAGCAGTGGAGGCATGTTCTCTGCAGGGACCAAAATGCAGTGTGCAATCCAAACGCACACGTTCCTGGTTAAAAAATGGCTCTGTGTATAAGTGGGTGCTGCAGCGACCGTTGGCTGAAACCAAACAGAATCTGCAAGGGAGAATCTCACCAGCACACCGAGGATCACCAATATGGGTCCAAAAATGTTAATGAATGATCACATAGTTACAGCAAGGCGATTTTTAAGAGTATCACAGGACCCCTTCATCAGGCATGTGACCAAAGGTCACATGCCTGATGAAGGGGTCCTGCGAAAGTCCGAAACGTTGCCTTGCTGTAACTATGTGATCGTTCATTAAAACTTTTGGACCCATATTGGTGATCCTCGGTGTGCTGATGACATTCTCCCCTCCCCCTCTCTGAAGTGACCAATCACGCTTCTCTGTCTGGGTTTGGCGGTTGCCAAGGGAACGGTACTTGCCTGACTGCATTGTGCCAAGTGTAGGTGAAGGTCCACATGGAGGAGCCAGTTTGGGGTGGAGGAACTTGACTGTCCTGCACAGAGTCCTGACCTCAACCCAATAGAATGCCTTTGGGATGAATTAGAGCGGAGACTGTGAGCCAGGCCTCCTCCCCCGACATCAGTGCCTGACCTGACAAATGTGCTTCTGGAAGAATGGTCCAACCTTCCCATAGACACCCTCCTAAACCTTGTGGACGGCCTTCCCAGAAGAGTTGAAGCTGTTATAGCTGCAAAGGGTGGGGCCAACTCAATATTGAACCCTACGGACTGAGACTGGGGGGCCATTAAAGTTCATGTGTGTGTGGAAAGCCCAATACTATATCAAGGGGGACAAGATCAACTGGTTACAGCAGAAGCAATCATGCACGAGACAGGGACACCCAAGCCCAAGCCACTTTTATTCAGCAAGGCAACCAACAAATACAGATCAATGCAGGAAGCTTTTGTACAGCAAGTCTATAGCATGAAACAAACACAAATGTCTGCTCTTCCAAACCACCAACTAAACCCAGGTCAGTTCCTGCCCAAGAAGGTGCCCCCCAATGGCTTCTCCAAAACAAACAGGCAGTGCTTGTACCTTTTTAATCTTCTGTGGGCTCTCTGTCAGCCCTTTCTGCGGCAGCATTAGTCATATTACATATATAACAGAGAGATAGAGCCCTGATCACCAGTCAGACCACATACTGTACTGTGCTGATGTTTGAGGCAGGTGTGAAAAATGCTGTAAAGGAAGAATGCTTTCAGAAATAGAGGTGTGAAAAGTTTATTTTTATCAGTTAACAACATGGAAAGTAGATGAACAGAAGAGAAATCCAAATCCAATCAATATTTGGGGTGTGACCGCCCTTTGTCCTCTTCTAGGTAGACTTGCACCCAGTTATTGAAGGAACTTGGAAGGCAGGTTATTCCAAACATTTTGGAGAACTAAGCCCAGATCTTCTGTGGATGTCGGCTGCCTCCAATCCTTCTGTCTTTTCAGTTAAACCCAAACAGACTCCATGATATTGAGATCAGGGCCTTGGGGGGGGGGGGGGGGGGCATCATTCCAGGACTCCTTGTTCTTCTTTACACTGAAGATAGACATTGGCTGTAAGTCTGGGAGGTTGTTCTGCTGCAGAAAAAATGTGGGGCCAATCACATGCCTCTCTGATGGTATGGCATGATGGCAGGGGTGGACTGACAACTCATGGGGCCCCCAGGCAATAGGGGATCATGGGGCCCCTGTGTCCTTGGCCAAACTCAAAAAAGCCTATGAAAAAGGTACAAGGGGCATCTCATGGGGCACCCTACTGACCCCGGGCCCTCGGGCAGTGCCTGTGTTTCCAAATGGTCAGTCCGCCCCTGCTTGATGGATAAGTATCTGCCTGTATTTCTCAGCACTGAGGCCACCAACGATCTTGAACCGACTCTATTTGGAGAAAGGCAGCCCCAAATTGCAAGGAACCTCCACCATACTTCACAGTTGTCTGCAGACACTCATTAGTGTACCACTCTCCAGCCCTTCACCAGCAAACTGCCTCTTGCTACAGCCAAATATTTCACATTGTGATTCGTCAGTCCAGAACACCTGCTCCCATTTTCCTGCACCCCAGTTCCCATGTTTTCCTGCATAGTTGAGTCACTTAAGACTTGTTTCCACGTCGGCAGTATGGATTTTTGGCTGCAATTCTTCCATGAAAATCACTTCTGGCCAGACTTCTCCAGACAGTAGATGGGGGTACCCGGGTCCCACTGGTTTCCACCAGTTCTGTGCTGATGGCTGCTGGATATCTTCCAATGTGGAAGGGAAGCAAGCATGAATGTGTCTTTCCTCTTCTGCATTAAGTTTCCTCAGCTGACCACTGCATCTACAGTCCTCAACATTTCCCAACCATTGCATCTATGGTCCTTAACGTTGCCAAATCACTGCATCTACAGTCCTCAACATTTGCCCACCACTACATCTATGGTCCTCAACATTTGCCCACCACTACATCTATGGTCCTCAACATTGCCCAATCACTGAATCTACGGTCCTCAACGTTGCCCAATCACTGCATCTACAGGTCTCAATATTTCCCAACCACTGCATCTATGGTCCTTAACGTTGCCAAATCACTGCATCTACAGTCCTCAACATTTGCCCACCACTACATCTATGGTCCTCAACGTTGCCCAATCACTGAATCTACGGTCCTCAACGTTGCCCAATCACTGCATCTACAGGTCTCAACATTTCCCAACCACTGCATCTACGGTCCTCAACGTTGCCCAATCACTGCATCTACATTCCTCAACATTTCCCCACCATTGTGTCTACGGTCCTCAATGTTGATTAATCACTGCATCTATGCTCCTCAACATTTCCCAACCACTGTATCTACGGCCCCCAACAATGCCCAATCACTGCATCTACAGTCCTCAACATTTCCCAACCACTACATCTACGGTCCTCAATGTTGCCCAATCACTGCATCTATGCTCCTCAACATTACCCGACCACTATATCTACGGTCCTCAATGTTGCCCAATCACTGCATCTACAGCCCTCAATATTTCCGAACCAGTGCATCTACGGTCCTCAATGTTGCCCAATCACTGCATCTACAGCCCTCAATATTTCCGAACCACTACATCTACGGTCCTCATGTTGCCCAATCACTGCATCTACAGCCCTCAATATTTCCGAACCAGTGCATCTACGGTCCTCAATGTTGCCCAATCACTGCATCTATGCTCCTCAACATTACCCGACCTCTGTATCTACGGTCCTCCACGTTGTCTGTTTCTTTGTGCTTGATGAGTTGAATTGATCCTGGTTTGAAACCAAAGGGTGGTCACACCAAATATTGATTTGATTTAGGTTTTTTATTTTCTGTTCGCTCACTTTGCATTTTGTAAATTGATAAAAATAAACAATTAAATCATAATTCTTACTTTACATCATTTCTTCACACCTGCCTATAACTTTTGCACAGTACTGTATATAAAGAAAAGAGAGCCCCGATCATCAGTCACATCTCATAAATGAAGGACAGCTGAAACTAATAATGCGGTCTGGCTACCAGGTAAGGTTTGGACCTAGGAATGAAGGCCATACGGTGTCCCTCCAAAAGCTCCACAAAGCCCCCAGACTCCAGAACCCCAAAACAAAAATTTTGAATTGCGTATAACCTTTAGCTTTCTCTATCTCAGAATTTGCTGATGGTTTTTTACAATGCAGCTTTCACTAAAGTTGATGCCTTTTTTTTTTCAACATAAACTCAGCTTGAACTGCCCAGATTTAATTAGAGTGTTTCATCTCTATATCATGTATTTTATCCATTAATCACGAAGAAACAAGACATTCCTCGCAAATGTAATAACAGAGGAAGTCGCTACTTTTTTTTTTTTTTAAACAATCATTCCTCAGAAAAGTGTTCAATAATCCAGTTTGTGTTAGCAGCACCCGTGCAATTTAGCTGTCTATTACAGATGTTAAAATGTATTAAAATAACACGTCCGTTTCTCCGGTTATCTTGCCCGTGTTCTAATTGCGCTAATCTGTGACAAGTCGCTGCTGAGAAAAATTCTAGATCGGCCTGGTGATAGAAAGGTTTTATAATAGAGCTGTCATTATTTACAAATCCCAGAGTGTTACTTACTTACTTCGCAGACAAATGGAACTAAAAACAATGACAGCCAGTCAACGGGTATTATGATAAATGGGAAAAAAAAATATTTTCTTTTATTATGTATTATTATAGTTTATTTATATAGCAGAATCACCTTCAATGGTTCTTTGCAAAGTAACATAGAAAACATAGAAATGGCAGCATAGGCGATGCAATGAATAAAATGTTACAAAGACAAGAAAATACACTATGTTGCCAAAAGGTATTGGGACAAACGCCTTTTATGCACATGAACTTTAATGGCCTCCCAGTCTTAGTCCGTAGGGTTCAATATTGAGTTGGCCCCGCTCTTTCCACGCACATGACCTTTAATGGCCTCCCAGTCTTAGTCCGTAGGGTTCAACATTGAGTTGGCCCCGCCCTTTCCACCCACAT